TTTTGCCTTCGCGTAAGTTTTTCTTATGTTTTATATTTTGGTCGTGATCTCGTCGACAATCGGGTGTTCTCTCTCTGACGAGTGTCTAACATAGCGGAGCTCGAACTCAGGGTATGTGACAATCAAGAGCTTCAAAATGTATCTTGTTTGGGTATCCTCTTGGTTGTAAAGGCTATAGACTTTACAACTTAGATACAAAGCAAACATTGATTTCCAGAAATGTCATTTTTTAGATACAAAGCAAACATTGATTTCCAGAAATGTCATTTTTTATGAAGATACTCTTCCTTTCAAATCTTCTTCTAACTCTATCCCTGACAACTCTTTATTTCCCTCTCCACCACCCTTTGTACATGATACAGATCCACATACTTTACCTCATAACTCATCTACAGATCATCATACACCTATTAACACATGTTCCCCTCCACTTTCTACTCATACTGCCACTCTTCCTACATTACCTCCCTCTACAACCAATACATTACCTCCTATGAATTCTGATAACCAACCTCTAGTCAGAAAGTCTTCTAGACAAAAGAAAACCCCTGCCTACTTAGACATATATACACACAACCTCCCTTCCCCTCAGCAATCCTCTTCCAATCTTCTTCACTGCACTTCTGGAACATCATTATACCCTATTTCAAACTACTTATCTACTGAAAATCTTTCTGACACTCACAAATGTTTTACTGCTGCTATTTCAAAAAACTCAGAACCCAAAACATACTCTCAAGCTGTCAAAGATCCCTTATGGCAAGAAGCCATGCAAAAAGAAATTCTTGCTTTAGAAAAAACTCAAACTTGGGAACTGACTGATTTACCCAAAGATAAACACACCATTGGCTGTAAATGGGTATACAAAATCAAATATAAATCTGATGGTAGCATAGAAAGATATAAGGCTAGATTAGTGGCAAAAGGGTATACTCAAGAAGAAGGCATAGATTACTTTGACACTTTCTCACCTGTTGCAAAAATCACCACTGTTAGATTTCTTGTTGCATTGGCATCTATCAAACATTGGCATATTCATCAATTAGATGTCAACAATGCATTTTTGCATGGTGACTTGCATGAGGAAGTTTACATGTCTCCTCCCCTTGGTTATTGTGATAAGTCTGACAAGAGGGTTTGCAAACTTTTAAAAAGTCTCTATGGCCTTAAACAAGCCTCAAGACAATGGTTCCAAAAACTTACCTCTTGTCTGATTAATTATGGTTTTAAACAATCTGTGGCTGACTGCTCCCTCTTTACTTTATCCTTAAATTCAAATTTCATTGCCCTACTTGTATATGTAGATGATGTGATTATCTGTGGTAATAACCTATCTCTCATTACCAAAATCAAACAGCATTTACATGATTGTTTTACTATTAAAGACCTTGGTACTTTGAAGTATATTCTAGGCATTGAGTTTGCACACTCTGATCATGGCATTAACATGTGCCAAAGAAAATATGCTCTAGATATTTTCAAAGACACAGGTTTTTTGTTTGTTATGTTTTTGTGCTTATTTTTATGTGTTTATATGTGTTATCGAGTCATT